AGGCGCGTCCGGGGAGCCCGCGGCCCTGCCGGGGGGGCCGAGCGCCGGGAGCGCGGCACGAGCCCTGCCCCGCCCGAGCCCGCACCACGTGCTCCGCCCGCGGACCTTTGTGAGGCCGCCCAGCCCCGCTTACCTGCGGCTCCGGCGTCCGTAGCCACCGCCCCCGTACCTGCGGGGCGGGGGTCCCCGGCGGCTGTGGTGCGAGTCCGGGGGGCGGCCGTAGCGCGCCATCTGCACCCGGAGCTCGCGGCCGTCCAGCACGGCTCCGTCCATGGCGTCCATGGCGTCCTCGGCGTCGCGCTTGTCGTGGAAGCGCACGAAGGCGAAGCCGCGGGACTCTTTGGTGTAGCGGTCCCGCGGGATGTACACGTCGCCGACGCGCCCGTACTTCTCAAAGACGCGCCTGAGCGTGTCGGGCGAGGTGCGGTAGGTCAGGTTGTCCACCTTGAGGGAGGTCATGCCCTCCACATCGGGCGGGGGGCGGCCGTAACTCATGGCTGTGAGAGGCGGCCCGGAGCCCGCGAAGCGGCGCCGGCTTCCTCAGCTCTGGGCGGTGCGACGCCGCGCCTCTTCTCTGGCAGTTGCCTTCCGCGTGGGAACACTAGAGAAGGCCAGGCAGAAAACGAGAACGCGCAAGCTCCGGAGCTGGGCGCACCTGAGCAACAACTGAGCGGGCGGCTGGCTCCAGCGCCGGTTTATATTGCTCCTCACAAAATGGCGCCCGCGCCACCCGGAAATGAATCCTCTGATTGGCTCGCTGCGCCCTGCTTCGTAACGTCGCAGCCGCGCGCCCCGCCCCCGCCCCATGCGCCTGCGCAGAGCCAGGCGGGCGGGCCAAAAAGAGCGGAGTCACGGCTGGCGGGAGGGGGAGCGGAATTTGTGGGCAGTTGGAAAGCCCGCGAAATGCTCTTTCCGCTTGCGAAGCAGGGAGCGAGATCTTGGGCTGGAGGAAGAGGAGGTGCTCCCCGTCTGGGCCCCGCCTTCTTCTCGGGCCATTGCCCCGGTTCCGCGCAGCTTTTCGGCTCGGCCCTCAGCCCCGCCTCTTTCAGAAGGGTGTCCCATCCCCGTTGGCCTTTCGGGGTCCTCGGCCTTGTCAGACCGCGCTTGGCCGTCTCCAGGCCCCCTCCGGTAGTCCCTGGCTGCCCTTCTGCTGGCTCCACTCCCCAGCCCCGTCCGCGGGTCGGGCCCGCTCCCTTTCCCGAGGGGCTGGAGCCGTCGCCACGCGCTGCTCGGTCCGGGCCGCCCGGGACTACAGCTCCCAGCAGGCCGAGCGCCTGGCCCCGCCGCGGCCGTCAGGTGGCCTGTCGCCTGACCGCGGTGAGTCACGGCCCGAAGGCGGGGCCGTGCGGGCAGCTGCGCTCGCCCTTGGCCCCTTAATCCCCCCGCGGGCCCCTCAACCTGGAGCTTCTGCGTTGCTGGAGCTTCTCCGAGTACTGGGCTCTTCCCTTCTCGGACCGCATCGCGGGAATGTCCTGATTGCGGGTGGGGAGAGCTTCCCTCTAAGCCCGGATTCTGATCCAAGAACTGGAAGCTTTGCTCCTGCATCCGCCTTCTCTCACCATCTCATTTTCTTTCTCAGGATTCTCAGTGGTTTCGCTCCGAGGAGAGCTGACTGCCCTGGGCTGCTGCTGAATTCTGGCAGAACTGAGCCAAAATGTCCCCGGAATCTAAAAAGCTTTTCAACATCATTATTTTAGGAGTTGCCTTTATGTTTATGTTCACCGCCTTTCAAACTTGTGGAAATGTGGCGGTGAGTTGGAATCTGTTCTCCCTCCTTTGAAGTGCGTATCATGATTCCAAAAATGATAATAAACGTTAATTATATCTAATAGCGCGCTTAAATTGTATCTTTTATTTTCCCACCTAGTCTTCTTCGTTTCTTATGAGAATGTCTTGTGTCAGACATTTTTCCTGTATGAGGTGTTAAACGTTGCCATTGATTTCTACGATTTGATTCTGAGGTTGGGGCATTGACCTAGTTATTTTATTTTTTGTCTGTACTAAGCTCTTCGTTAGTGCTTAAATAGCTAAAGAAATAAAACCTAAGGAATACTTAACAGCTGCCCCTCTTTGTCATTGGTTTGCCTTCTCCAATTCTGTCGTCCTTTTTCTTTTCTCATGGTAGACTTGCAGTGTTAAGCATTGTGAATTTTCACTTTAGTCTCTTTCTGGGTACTTGGAGTCAAAACTTTCCAAGGGAGAGGGAGATTGCAAAACGTTTTCTTTGATTAGTTTTATCTTCCACACAGCAAACTGTCATCAGGAGTCTAAATAGCACAGATTTTCACGGCAGTGGATATACCAGGTATTGTACTGTTCTGATTGATACTACTTTACATTTAACAGTAGTTGGTTAAAACCCATCAGAATCACCCGCAATAAAATATTGTGATTGAATTAGTAGTGATTGCTTTTTTTTCTTCTCTTATCTAGACTATTTGGGAGAACATAATAAAGGTTTTGAGTTTAGGTTTTCTGTGGAATTACACTGGCTTTGAAGTCCTGGCTTTACAACTTCATTGCTTTGTTGTCTTAGGCAAGTTATTTCCATGAGCCCATTTTCTTTACTCAGACAGTCCATGTAAAGCACCTGGCACAGTGCATGACATTGAATAAGCACTCAAGTATCGGCATAATCACATCTTCCCAATCCTGACCAGATGTTTTATTTGATTCTTGAAACATTTGGTCTTCCTGTTTTTATAATTTCATTAACAGTCAACTTGCTTTTATCAGAAGCCTTTAGATTTTTGTCTAATCCCAGTTTTACAGCTGGGGAAAATGAAAAGCCCTTCCCAAGTCACTAGAATCTTGTGATTGGAGCTGGGAATATATAATAATACATGTATATAAACTCAAACAGGTTTCTCTTAAATTTGTTTTTTAATTGACAAAAATTGCACTTATTTATTTTGTATAGCATGTTGTTTTGAAGTTATTTTACATTGTTGAAAGGTTAAATTGAGCTATAAAACGCTTCGCAATTTTTGTATAGATACTGGCTCGTGGGACCTTTCACCCCACAACTTTTATTTTTTTTATTACCTGTCATAAGCCTTGTATGTTTGAGAATGAAGAGATGTTAATGTCCAGTTTTCTAAGTGATTAATAATAATGCCACAACTTTTTGTAGTGCTTTGTTTTCATGTATATCCTGAAGAAGAAAGGAAAAAACATTTGATATTTGAGAGATTTGTACAAGTCAAAAAAGGAATTTAGTTTAGATTGCCTTAGTATTTATGAATAGTGGCTAGTAAATGGATTCAGGACTCATGAAATTATTTTAGTCACACTTTGTACAAGTTGTACATATACATACAGAGGTACTAGGGTAGGGTCAGTAGTAAATGAATAATGTTTAAGTGAAACCATTAGATTGAGTTAAATAAATTCTGGCTTAGGCAAGTTATAACTGTGCTTGTTATTTATAGCAGAGCAATGTTCAGCAGTTGCCAGGAGTCATAAGCTAAGTTTGTGAACAGACTGGTAGGGCCTCTAAAGTCATGGGGTCCTGGCTTGATAATCACCATCTACAAAGTGGACTTGTGGCAAGTTACTTAAACCACTCTATTTCAGTTTTCTTTTCTCTACATTGATGGTTATAATAGTACCTCTTCCTGGAAGTGGATAGGATTGAAAGTACTTAGAGTACTTGGCACAGTGCCTGCTATATGTTAGCTGTTACTATGATTTACCAGTACATTAAAAATGAATTGTCATAGGCAAACTGATTCAAAGACACATTTCATGGGACTTCAGTATTTTGTACAAATGAAAACTTTAATATAGTATTCAGTTTAATGGTATAAGTTGTTAGTAAAGAATATGAATGTTTATTGCAAAAATCTATAAACTCTAAATAGATTTTAAACAAGTAAACCTTTGAGACTGCCTAAGGGTTTTGTTCTTTTTTTTTTTTTTCATTTGTGTGTTACGTGTGCAGCATGGCAATTATTTATGGAGTATTCTCTGCTTCAAATTTGATTACACCGTCAGTGGTTGCCATTGTAGGACCTCAACTGTCTATGTTTGCCAGTGGTTTATTTTACAGGTGAGAAGTGTAATCTTTCACTTACTTAATTAGAACACTTTCAGCATTTTTCAAGCACATGGCAAATTTGCAGTCTAGGACTGAATAAAATATAGCTGGCTCTCTACTTGTTGCTCTCAGATTGCTCTAATGTGATGGAAGGCATGTATATCTACTTATATTTTACTATTAAGAAAAAAGTATTAATCTCTTTCCACAAGGTTTGAAAAGAACATCCCATGAAATAATCTTACTTTCTGCAAGTTGTCTAATGGAGATTCAAATAAAATAACTAAACGTTTCTCTGGGTTCTAGAACTGCAGTTCCATCATATGCTAAAATTTGGCAAGGGCTATTGCAAACCTGTCAAATGTCTGGTTTTACAAATTTGAAGTAGTAAATTAAGAAGCAAGTAGGTGGGCTAGGGGCTCAGGCCTGTAATCCCAGCATTCTGGGAGGCCGATGCGGGAGGATCCCTTGAGCTTAGGAGTTCCAGACCAGCCTGAGCAAGAGCAAGACCCTGTTTTTACTAAAAATAGAAAAATTAGCCAGGCGGGTAATTTTTGGGTGGGTGGGTGCTGTTTACTTGGGAGGCTGAGGCAGGAGGATCGCTTCAACCCAGGAGTTTGATGTTGCTGTGAGCTAGGCTGAGAGAGATTCTGTCTCAAAAAAAGAAGAGAACCCTCAGAACTGATTCCTAGAAGGCATAATTGGCATTGTATATTAGGTATTGTTTGACTGTAATACATTGACCTGTTATATTTTAGCATGTACATTGCCGTTTTTATCCAGCCTTTCACATGGTCCTTCTACACAGCCTCTGTTTTCATTGGCATTGCAGCTGCTGGTAAGGATTTTTATTTTTATCCTCCCTGTTTTCCTTTCTGGGTCCTGTCTAAGTATATCATTCATGTGTTTAGTATGTAAAGCTAAGTGACTTCCTTTCCTTGACAAACTTTTGGTTTGGATTTTAGTGCTTTGGACAGCACAGGGAAATTGCTTGACAATAAATTCAGATGAGCACACGATTGGGAGAAACAGTGGAATTTTCTGGGCACTCCTACAGTCTAGGTAATAATTCCTTTTGGTTTTTATTTTCATTTAACAAATTATTTCAAGTTTATTTTTATCGTTTACCTTCAAA